TCAATATGTTTTTCCCTCTGGTGAGCAGACTCAAACATCGAATGTGTTAGCAGTTCTGGTACCATGTCAGTATCTCGCTGCCAGCTGTTTGAAGCGGGCTTCCACTCCAGTGCTCTCCATCTCCGAGACAGCTCCTGCAACGGGACTCTTCAGGATGGACGACTTGTCTTCCACTTTGACAATGACAACCATCTGTGTGGGACAGCTCTTAGGGTAAAGTTCATGAACTGGAACATCTTCTTTAAAGCTTCCAATAGGTCACTTAACTTGACTGACAGCATTCTGTCATTTCACTGTTTAGAGCAATGGAACTCACTTCATGTATTAGAACACTATTCAGGGGAATGTGGATCCTCATGGAGGTTTGATCAACCGTGAGAGGAATCTTCATCTGGATTTCTGTTGTGTTTATCCACTTGCTCAAGCTCTGTCAATGGCTGTGGGCATCAACCCTGTGGAGAGGTGATGATACCATTTTCTCTGTTTGCTTCCTTTAACTAGTTGTGCCATCATGTCCAGTTCTACTTCTATATCTTAATCAGTTATTCATTATCTATAACTGAATCCTCTAAACAAATTAGCATAGCTTAGCCAGCCTATCAGACGTATTTAGCAGGGTTGTCACATTAAATGTTTCTTCTGCAGCATTTTGAAGAAGAAGCTTCCTGCTGGCACTGGATCATATAGTGTGAGGATGATCCCCTATGAGGATGAAGGTTTCCACTTCCCCTTCAGCACGAACGGAAACATAGAACTGGAAGTTGATCAGATGTTTTACGTGGAGGTGCGAACAGAAGGGGTGGATCAGCGTCAATTTGCCACAGTTCTGGACTCCTGCTGGGCCACACCAGTCAACCAAGCAAACTACCCTGTCCGCTGGGATCTCATTACTTCACTGTAAATGAGACCATCTTGTTGTTCTTTATAATTTATTTCAGTGTCTTCTTGTTGACAGTCTAACTTATGTGTCTGCTTCTGCTTCACAGGTGTCCTAATCCAGAAGATGGAACCGTAGAGGTGATTCAGAACGGTGTCTCCACTGTGTCTCGTTTCTCCTTCAGGATGTTCACCTTCACCAACCACACACAGATTTACTTGCACTGCAGTGTCCACTTGTGTCTTTTGAGCAGCAACAACTGCAGAACTGTAAGTTTCATTGTGTGGTTTTTGTGGCTATATTAAGTTGCACATAGCCAACTGGTCTCCTTTTTTTCCAGCATTGCTACCCGGGTCACCACACTCTATTCAAGAGGGACGTGTCTTACCATGACTCTGCAGCTCTGTCAATTGGACCACTGGTACTCGGGGCACAACCAAACACTGGTAAAGTTCTATCACATCTTTATTAT